GCTGCTCGACGCCCCCAAGGGCGAAGGCCCCGGGGAGGCCGAAGCCGGCCGAGAACCTCCAAGACCCGGTTCCCTCGGGATTCCTTGCCCTCTTGGCGACCACCTCTTGAGGATGAAATGCTGGAGACTGTGCAACTGCAGGACGCCAGAATCAAGCAATTGGCCGCCATGAGGCCACGCGCGCAAGGTCTGAGGCGCGACAGAGAAGCTCCCAGCAACCCTCTGGCACCATGGGGGAAAATGTTGTCCACATGTTCCTTGCTCATGCCAGCGACCACGAAGGGACTCGTCCATGGGGGATGTTACCCAAACGCTGCCTGCACTTAAGGGGGGTGGTCTACATGGCTTGGCCTGGCCGACGGTCCGGCGGCTATCATCCCGCTGTCGCCGCCCTGTCGCCGCCCATCGTCTGGGCCTGGGTGTTGGTTTGGCGGCTCTGTTCTCGCTGTCGCCGCCCCGTCGTTGCCTCGTCGTCGCCCGCTGTCTGGGCCTGGGTGTTGGTGTGGCGGTCATGTCATCGCCGTCGCCGCTCCGTCGCCGCCTCGTCGCCGCCCGTCGCCGCCTCGTCGCCCGGGCTCGTTCGTCGGGTCCACTGACTTGTTGCCGCCGTCGCCGCCCCGTCGCCGCCTCGTCGCCGCAACAACGACTGCACCATACGATTTGCCTTCAAAAGAAAATAGAATCTACCCCCCCACGGGATTATCGACCCCGCTTCTCGTATTACAATTTACATATGATTTTGCCCCGTCGTCCAGCCAAAATATGGACTCGCATCATCCCAGGGGGGCCGGTCTCCCCCCCCGCCATCCTCTTCAAAAAATACTGTGCGCGCGCAGTCGTTTATCAGAAATCATAAGTTTCACAAATCCATTGCTAAAGACATGGAACGAAATTCACACGCGCGCGTCTTCGCGCGCGCATGCCGAAATCTTTCAACAATCGTGGGTTTCGTAAGGATTTGAAAATCGAACGACCAAGAACCATATAAAAACACTGGGCTTCGCAACGCGAGTTGTCAAACAAAAAACTTGCGCGCGCGCTCTTGCGAATCCTTATTCAACCAACAAACCATACGCTTTCAACATTTGCATAACATGTTATCAAGCTGCCTTTGCGCGCGCATGTCGAAATCGTTCGAACGCCCTTGCGCGCCTGCTGGGGTTGCGCGATCCGTGTCAAATCATACCATGCAGGCCACTCTCGCGCGTCTGCCGCGTGCATGTCAAACTCTTCCCACGTCCTTCATCACCGACGCGAAGACGCTGTCATCATCGTCGTCGGCGTGATCAGCATCGGCGCCGTCACTGCACTGGCCGTGCCGTCGTCGTTGGCAACGTCGTCACCAGCGCTACTTTCATCGTCGTGTCTACCGTCGTCGACGTTGCCATGATACCGCGCCCGCCCAAGTCGCAGAATCGCACTGAAGTGCCCGCTGGGATTTGCCGAGAGGTCAACGCCACCGCGTTCGCGTCGGTCGCGCCAAACTAGCTGGCCGCTGCGCGCGGTTCTTTTTGCCTGGCCCCGCAAGCGCCGCAGTGGCCCCCAGGCGCATGGACCTGAGGCCTCTGGCGCCCTGGGAGCCAGTGTTTAAACAGGCGCGGCGCAAAGCGTGCCAGGGGCACAGCAAGGCGACTCGGGCACGGGTCCGACTCAAAGGAAAAGAGCCCGAGCACCTCCCCAACAGGGGAGTACGTGGAACAAAGTAACAGAAGCGGTGCCCCATTCGAGAGCACTGGGAACCCTAGGAGGCAGTGGCCCCCTTCTCTCTCGAGGGCACCTGCGTGGGGCTCTCCGCACCAAAAAGGCCTTACCTGTCCTCTGGAGGCCGGGGCTGGAAAGGGCCCTCCTGGGTGGCAGCGGTAAGGGACACAGAAGCAGCAGCAGCAGCAGCAGCAGCAGCAGCAGCAGCAGCAGCAGCAGCCTCCTCCTCCGCCGCCCTAACCTCCTCCAGGTACCTCCCGAGCAAGGGGGAGGAGGAGGAGGAGGAGGAGGAGGAGGAGGAGGAGGAGGAGGAGGAGGAGGAGGAGGAGGAGGAGGAGGAGGAGGAGGATGGGGAGGGGGAGGAGGAGGAGAAGGAGGAGGAGGAGGAGGAGGAGGAGGAGGAGGAGGGGGAGGAGGAGGAGGAGGAGGAGGAGGAGGAGGAGGAGGAGGAGGAGGAGGGGAGGAGGGGGAGGAGGAGGGAGAGGGGGTTGGAGGAGGAGGGGGAGGAGGAGGAGGAGGGGGAGGAGGAGGCCGTGATCGAACATCTCTCACGCCATCAGGAACCAGGAACCAGGAGAAGGAGGAGGAGGAGGAGGAGGAGGACTACCCATTGTGAGCGCTACTCTCCCCCTTCTCCCCAAGGTGGCTCACCGCTCCTCCTGCTTCCTGTTCCTTCTTCCACGAACGGCGCCGATGGATTGTGAGCATCTTCTCCTCGCCCGACCTCCCTGCGCGCTTCCTGGTCCCATCCAGGCCCGTCTCCCTGCGCTTTAGACGACAAGGTGCTGATCCCTGCAAGTGCCATCAAGGGATGCAGGCCCGATGCGACACCCGACTCGGCCAGCAGAGAGGTGCAAGCAATGGGAGGGGATGGGCTGGAGGGGTGGATTGTCAGATGTGGCGCGGGAGCACCTAGCTTGCCCCCCTCGCCATCCCCCCCGCTTCATGTCGTTGGCCACTGCCACCTCGGGAGGGGGGGGCGGCGGGGCCCATCGACGGGGACGCACCCACACCACAGGCCTCTCCAGCACGCAGAGCTGCTCCTTGGTGGCCTTCGACAAGTGGACGACCGCGTCCCTCGGCGCGGACTCCGCCAGGTACCGGGCGGTGCTCAGGGCGTCCCCGAAGTACCCCTCCCGCCCGCTCGGCAGGACGATGGAACCCAGCGGCCCTGTGTGCACACCGACCTCGGCCCGATCGGTGCAGGAGGAGGAGGAGGAGCTGGCCCAAGAATGGACGAGGAAAAGGAGGAGGAGGAGGACACCTCAGGCCATGGAGCGCCTGCGGCTTGCCCAAGAAAGGAGGAGGAGGAGGAAGAGGAGGAGGAGCAGGAGGAGGAGGAGAAAGGAGAGGAGGAGGAGGATAAGGGGGAGAAGGAGGAGAAGGAGGAGAAGGAACGGTAAGAGGAGCAGGAAGAGGAGGATGAGGATAAGGATGAGGATGAGGAGGAGGATGAGGAGGAGGATGAGGAGGAGGATGATGATGATGAGGAGGAGGGCCAGAATAAACCCAAGATGGATCAACGATGCTGCGACACACCCATGTACACCCTCCCGCCCTCAAAATTCCCTCCTCCTCAGTGCCTAGAAACATCCTGCCTCCCGTCATCGCGGGCAACGCCCCCCACAAAAGACGAGCGCCCCGTGGGCCCGCAGCTCTGGCGGGACCAAACGCTTGGGCGGGGAGCCGGCCCTCCCTCCCGTGCTGCTGCGGAGCTCTGCTCGACGAGGCCGCGCGGCGCTGCAAGGAGGGCCCGCAGCCTGAGAACCGGGGCGCCCGTCGCCCGTGCAGGTGCTGGACATGGCCTCGAGTCCCGGATGAGGACGAGCAGAGGAGTCTCAAGAGCGGCAGGCCCGGCCAGGCCTGTGGACACGCCTGGTGGCGCGAGGAGAGGGAGGAGGAGGGAGAGGAGGAGGAGGAGGAGGAGGAGGAGGAGGAGGAGGGAGGAGGAGGAGGAGGGAGGAGGAGGGGGAGGAGGAGGGAGGAGGAGGAGGAGGAGGAGGAGGAGGAGGAGGAGGAGGAGGAGGAGAGGAGGAGGGGGAGGAGGAGGAGGAGGGGAGCAGGAGGAGGAGGAGGAGCAGGAGGAGGAGGAGGAGGGAGGAGGAGGGGGAGGAGGAGGAGGGAGGAGGAGGAGGAGGAGGAGGAGGAGGAGGATGAGGAGGGGGAGGAGGGGGAGGGAGGAGAGGAGGAGGAGGAGGAGGAGGATGAGGATGAGGAGGAGGGTGATGATGATGATAATGATGAATGATGAATGATGATGATGATGATGATGATGATGATGAGATGATGAGATGATGATGATGATGCTGATGATGATGATGATGATGATGAGATGATGATGAGGAGAGGAGGAGGAGGAGGAGGAGGAGGAGGCGGAGGAGGAGGAGGAGGAGGAGGCGGAGGAGGAGGAGGACGACGAGGAGGAGGGGGAGGAGGATATACGCTTGACTGCGAATACCAGATTTGAAGGGAGATGAAGAGAGGCACAGGCTGAGGAACAGGAGAGGGGGAGGAGGAGACGCAGCCATGGAAGATAAGCAAATAAAGAAGGATGATCGTCAGGACGCCAAGGAGGGTGGTGAGAAAGGATGTGTTTACTTTTGTTGTGTTATGTATCTCTCTCTCTTGTATGTACGTAGCTATTGCTGTTGTTCGTTTCCTCTCTCTCTCTATATATGTATACATACATAGCTGTTTTAAAAAGCATCTATGCATACACATATATATATATATATGTTTATGTATGTATATATATATATGTGTATGTGTAAATCTAGAACCACGCGCGCCATTCTCGCTCGTATAGGTTATAGCTATGCGAGCTCGCATCGTGGCGGTAGCACTTCTGAAGGCCATTCGTGCAGCTCCTAGGGATCCACTCTGACACTGACGGCCTTGCGGTCATGTGGGGGTTGGGGACACGCCTCAAGGATTCTCGGGCGTTTCACAAGAGGGCCAGGCCCTGGGCCAGCTGGGCTACGCGTGTCCCTGGTGGCCACTCTCCATGGAGCGGCCCCTGGCGCACCATCCGGAGGGGTGGCATCATCTGGCCCGACGTGACCTGGCCCGCGGCCGGGCCCCTCGGGGGAGTTTGGGGGGGGCCTTCTCTGGGGACGTCATGGGGTTCGGCTGGCCCTCCTGAGCCACCATGGGGTCCGTCGCAAGCGCTGCTGGGCGCGGCGAGGAGGTCTTTTCCCGTCGCCCGGATCGGAGAAGTCCCTCGATAACGGGACACCCGCGGGGAGCACGGCAGATGGGGCAGCACCGACTGCACTGGCTGGGCCAGCCAGGCAATGTAAGCAAGGGCGGTGAAAAGGCCCGCGGCTGCATCCGCTCACCCTGAGCCGCGGGCGCCCCGAAGGACTCCGACGCACCGACAAGAACAGTCGACATTGGTCCTCCTCCTCTTCCTCGTCCTCGTCCTCCTCACCGTTCCTTTTTCCTACCTCGTCTTCCTCCCCCTCAGGCACCCTCCCACCTGAATCCTCCTCCACCTCCTCCTCGTTGGGCCTCTTCGGGCCCCTTGGGCCGCGATGGGAGCCTGTTCGGCCATCTTGCGACCATCTGTAGACGTCTTTGGCGTGTTCTTGCGTCGGTGGTGTTTGGTTGTCGGTGGTGGGTGACCCACACCGGATGATAATTTCTCTCTATCTTCTTTCAAAGTGCAGTGGTCTCACAGGGATGGTGGTTTCAAGACGCTTCCCGATCGCTTCCCTTGCTTGATAAAGTGCTGCAGTGATTTCAACTGTAAGGGAATAGGTGGAAGATCGAGAAATGAGCGCGAATGCAAAAAATATTTGATTGTGAAGGTTTCGGGTGTCACACAAGGACGAATTGGTGGTCCCAAGACATCTTCTTATTGTTTGAACATGAAGAGCTCCTGACCGTCATTCGATGCATAATGGATTACTGTTTCAAGTGTAAAGAATCGGGAAATGGATCGGGAATGGAGCGCGAATGCTGGAAACCTTTGGTGTATTTTCTTTTGGGGGGCTCGCAGGGGTTAGTAACATTTTCTGCCTCATCTATATAAATATATGTATCGCTTCGCCTGGGTCGTGCTATATCGAAACCAAGTAGGCACACGACCCGAATGCATCCATAATCCCTTGGCTCTGGCATCAGCTCCTCATTAGACTGTACTACAATCCGAATCCAACAAGGATCCTCCGCAGATGGGGTCAATTCCATTCCTGTTGGAGTATTGATCGAGTCCTGCTCGGGTGTCATCAGACATTTCAGCAGCGGAGGTCTTCCAGCACGACAGCACAAAACAGGTAGGTCCCTCAGGGGAGTGGGATACCAGTCACATGTATACACACAAACACACATTCATGCATTCAGTCATTCATAAATGCATACATGCCTACGTTCGTACGTACGTACGTACGTACATACATACATACATACATATGTAGCGATGCCCTTCCTCTGCTGAAAAAGCTCCTCTTAAACCCAAGGCCGATGCACTTTTCCGGGCTCACCACTGCCTCCGCAAACATCTGACAGCTCGAGGGCGGCCTCAGTTGGGGCCGGCCTCGACTAGCCAAGGGTGGGCGGGCACGGGAGAGCTTGAAGCCAGAGCCCCCGCGCGTCGAGGAATCACTGCAATCAACGATGCCCTTCCTCTGCTGAAAAAGCTCCTCTTAAACCCAAGGCCGATGCACTTTTCCGGGCTCACCACTGCCTCTGCAAACATCTGACAGCTCGAGGGCGGCCTCAGTTGGGGACGGCCTTGACTAGCCAAAACCGCTCATGGTGGAAGAAGGGGCGGAGGAGGGAGGAGCGAAGCGGGCACCGAAGAGCTCTGTTGGCAGCGGCGGCGCCACACGAGGACGGCGACCGGAAGGGCGGGGGTCGACGTCGCTCGGCCTCGGCAAACGACTCGAAGACAGAAGCTGCCAGGTGGCCTCAAAAAGGAGGTCGCCGGCAGCCTCGGCGAAAAGCCGGACCTTGCTACGGAGGGGGCTCGGGAGGTCCGCGAGGAGCGTACTAGCCCCGGCCTCTTGGATGTAAATCTCCAACATCCTACTGGAGAGCCACCTACCCCTGTAGCGAACCCAGTCTGGCGAATCTGTGAGCCTATGCCAAAAAGTGGCCCCTCCCGGACGGAGGGACGCGGGGGTGATGCCAACTTTGTCTGAATGTTTAATTCCGAAAAAATCCATGAGGGCATCCAGACATGATCTGAAAACACGGGCACCACCATGCATGAGAGGGAGGCGAGGGGAGGACCGCAGAGAGAGGGCCTTGAAGAAACACACAACTTGCGGGACATCTATCCTGATGTGCTCGCGGCGTGCGCCCAGGCGTCTCATTTTGGGCGCACCCACGTGCACATGCATCGATTGCAGACGTTCCAACGTCCGCGAGGGGAGCGCGAGGTCCCCGAACCTCGGCCTCAGGAACTCGAAGGGCCTCATCATCCCGAAGAAGCCGAGGAGCAGGCAGCCGGCGACGTCGCGCCAGCCCCACGCCAGCGCCAATCTCACAGAGGCGAGCAGCAGCGCCTCCGGCATCGCCTGGCGGTTCGAGCCCGGCGTGAGGTGCTTCCACGTGAAGGAGATGTCCCACGCAGCGTCTAGCCGGTGTCGGAGGGCACGATTTGCGTCCACCACAGCATTGATCGTCTCGTCGTAGTCGTGGCGGCTCCGCATCGTGTCGTACAGGAACTTAGCCAGGTAGCGCGCCACCGTCGCCGGGTCCATCAGGATGAACAGGTCCCAGCTGGGCCCGCCGCAGCCCGCCAGCCAGTGCTGGAGCTGCGAGACGAGGGCAGCACGGCGCGCCTGGACCACTGGCGTCAGGCCGCGCGTGGCCGCCAAGTCCACCCCAGCGGGGCGGGCGGTCGGCGGGCGCGGTGCGGCAGCAAGGTCCCGCAGCAGCAGCAGCACCAGGAGCCCGAAGAGGCGGCCCAGCGGCCACGCCGACCAGGCTGCAGCGGCGCAGGAGGCCTGTGCCAGGGTTCCACGAGCCCGACCCTGATGGAGGCTGGCCGTGCCCGGGAGGAGCCGGGCCGTCACCTGACCAGGGGATGAAACCCTGCTCACCTCCATAGGGGGCCTCCCAGGCCAGCCGCCTCCGCCGCGCGGGCCCTCGCCCGGGAAGCCAGGTTCTGCTCCGACGCATGGCCCTCCGCCCCCGCCTCCACGCGGCCCAGTCCCTCCTCCTGCGAGCCAGGCCGCAGAGCCCCAGCCCCCCGTGGCTCCCACAGGAGCCGGCGACCGCGAAGAGCAGCTGGTGGCCCCGTTGGCCCGGCAGGCGTCACTGATGGGGGCCCTGGCTCAGAGCGGCGGTCGCCAGCCCGACGCGCTGTCGCTCCTCGCGGACGGCGGGCGCGACGATGGGCTTGGCGAGAGCTCTGGCATGCGACTTGGCGGCGCGCGCGGCGCCGCCGCCCTGGAGCTGTTCCGACGCCGGGTCCAGAGCAGCCCCCAGGCCGTCTCCGCCCTGGCCAGGCGGAATCGCCAGCTCAACATGACGGGTGCTGCGAGCGAGGAGGGCATGAGCGACTCCACGCGGAACTACTTCGCCCGCAACGTCCCGTTCGGGCAGGCGAGGTCGTCGGCCTTCCTGGTGTTCGGCATGGCGGAGGTGTTCGACCTGATGGAGCGCGGCTCGTGACACGCCGCCGAGGCTCAGCTGGCGCTCCTCCTCTGCGCGTCGGAGCAGGCGGCCCTGAGGGAATGGCGCTGGGCGTCAGCCTGGTTGCTGACTCACCTGCCCGAGCCGCCCTGGACCTCGATCCGCCAGGCGCCAGCCCGCGGGCAGATCCGCCCCATGTCCCGCTTGGCCTCGCCCGAGTGGGTCGCTGCAGCGATCGGCTACACCAAGGACACGCTGGCCCTCGAGGACGCGGAGCGGAAGCTTGCGCCGGCCGCAGCACCGAGGGCCGAGGAGGGTGGAGGAAAGGGGGGGGGCTCGAAGCGCCACGGCAAGGCCGCTGGCGCGCCCCCTCACGAGTGAGAGCGGGGCTCCCTGGGCTGGCTGGCCCGGGAGCTCTGCGCGACGCTGCCCCAGCCTCTCTGCCGCGCGGACGCGCGGAGGACCGCAGGAGGCTGGTGGGCGGCAGCAATTCACTGGACGTGGGCATTCGTTGGGGCTTTGGCCTGATCCGCCGCCTGCGCGGGCTCCGCGCGGCCTTCGGCGCCTTCGTCCGCTCCTCCATGCACGCCGCTGGGTTCCAGGAGGTTGCGACTCCTGCCGCCGGTCTGCTGCCCTGCCCCCCGCCCTTCGGGTGGGCTGCTTGCACCCCCCCGCGGGGCGTGCGCGCTCGCAGGCGATGGCTCCGCACTCGCGTCGAGCACATGTGGGTCAACGCCGTCATCCTCGCGCTCTCCCACCTTCACCTGGGCGAGTCGCGGAGCTGCCCGCCGCGCGCCCGCGCTGGGAGGCCTCTCAGTTCGTCTCAGTCCGAGATGGTGTCCAGGCTGAGTAGGCTCGTGCGACCGATGCGCCGGCCCCTGCAATGGCAAGGTGGCCGCGTGGAGAAGGCCGACGCTCTGCTCGACTATCTCCTGCGTGCGACGCATCTCCCCGTGGGCGCTGTGGCGCCCTCTCCCGACTGCGAAATGATGACCACTGACCCGAGCAAGGCCCCCTTCGCCAAGGCCGAGTGCCACTTTGACCCCCTGGCGTTCCTGGCCCCGTTTGCCGCCGCCACGTTCTTGGAGCCGCGGCTGCTGGCGCGGGATGGGCCGGGTGCCGGCCCGCTGGCGCGCGCGGTCGGGCCTCCGGCCCGGCCCGCTCCTGCGAGGCCGGCCCGCCAGGCGGGCAAGCCGGGCGACCTCCTCGAGTACCTGAAGCAATGGGACGACGTAGGGCGACTGGAGCTGGTCGACGCGGCCGACTCCCCGCAGGCCCTGCGAGGCACCCTGTTTCCCGTGTTCAAGGACGCCAGCACGCAGAGGGTCGTCTTCAATCGCATCGCTCGCAATTCATCTGAGTTGCCACTGGGTGGCTTCTCCAGGCTGACCCCGAGCGCCGCCATGCTGGTGGACCTGGAGGTGCCTGCTGGTTCCGTCCTTCGCGTCTGGGCGGACGACCTCCAGGACTTCTACCCCGCCTTTGACTGCACTTACGACATGGCTTGCACCAACGACGTGGCGCTCCCCCTCCCGACGAGGCTCTACGAGGGCTTCGCAGCGCTGGGCCCGCTTCGGAAGCGCTGCCGTCGCGAGGGCCGCGAGCTCCCCGAGAAAGTGGTTCCCTGCCACGGCGGCCTGATCATGGGGGGCCTGAACGCGCCCGACTGGGCGCGCGAGTCCCACATGCGACTGCTCGCCCAAGCCGGCAGCTTCCCCCCACAGCGGCGGGTGCTGAACCGCCACCTTGCCCCCGAGGGGTCTGCCTGGGAGGGCGTCGTGCTGGACGACCACTTCGGCCTGGCTGTCGACGCTCCGGGCTCGCGGGAAGCTCGGCGAGCTATCGAGGAGTCCTTCGCCCGCGCGCGCGAGGGCTATGCGAAGGCTGGCCGCAGGGTCAGCGCTGGCAAGGAGGTGAAGGACGCGGCGGAGGCGACGGTCATCGGGGCAGAGCTCCTGGGTCATGACCGGCTCGTCGGCGCCTCCCGCACCCGCAGGCTGGCACTGCGTGGCCTGGATGGGCCTGTCCATGGCTCGGGGCCGACGCTCCACTACGCTGGGACTGCAGAGATTCCTTGGCATGGGGCTCTTCGCCGCGTTGTTCCGGCGGCCGACCCTGTCGCTTCTCCACCACTGCTACAAGGAGGTCGACGTCGACCGCAACCCGCACGAGGTGTTCGACCTGAGCAGCGCGGCCTGCAACGAGCGCGCCCTGTTCGCAGTCCTCCTCCCGCTGATGGCCACCGGCCTCTCCGCGGGCTGGGGCCCGCACGTTCTGGCCTCGGACGCCTCGCACCTGGCCGGAGCGTCCGTCAAGACGCCGGCCTCAGCGCCCACCGCCAGAGCTTTCTGGCGCCAGCGCGAGCAGCGAGGCGCTCGCACGTGGCTGTACCCCTCAGGCTGGGCTGCCATGGCCAACCCCGAGGACGGCGCCGTCCTGCAGGACCTGGAGGAGGATGCCGCACCCCCCCCCTGGCATTGTCGACCCGACGGCCTCGCTCATCGAGTACTTTGACGTGCTGGAGCTCTGCTGCGGGGAGGAGGCCCGCCTCATGGGATACCTCTTGGGCCGGGGCCTGCGCACAGGCCCGAGGATAGACATCAAGTGCCACAAGTACTGGGACCTGGTCGACTCGCGCCTAGCGGAGTGGATAGCATGGCTGATCTGGCAGAGGCGCGTCAAGATGACCATATCACAGGTTCCGTGCACCAGCTTCTCGATCGCGAGGCACCCGAGGCTCAGGTCCAGGATGCGGCCCTGGGGATTCGACCCATCCTCGACCCCGACGCATCTGGGGAACGTCCTCTTCAGGGTGGGCATGCTGGCGCTGTTCGCCCACCTGATCTCTGGCCACGGGACCGGTTTGCACGAGCATCCCCTGACGGCCTACTCCTGGTGCGCGCACATCGTCGAGTTCCTGCTGACGCACAAGACCGTGGACCGCTTCGACCTCTCGATGTGCCAGTTCGGCGCGCCCTGGAAGAAAGACACTAGCCTCCTGGTAGTGCGGGGCTCCTGGCTGGCGCCTATGGCGAGGCGCTGTCGCGGAGGGCACAAGCACACCGTCTTGGAGGGCGGCCTGACTCCCAAGGCCGCGCTCTACCCGCACGGCTTCTGCGACGAGCTGTCCAAGCTGATCGCCGACATCCTGGACGGGCCGACCCCGCCACCCCCGGCGGAGAGTTCGGCGCCCGCTGGAGCGTTCGAGGCCCTCTGGCTGAACGACTACGTCGGCTTCGCTCCCTGGCAGCTGCACTGCCACCGCCTTTTCCGCAAGCCCCTCCACATCAACCTACTGGAGATCGACGCAGCTTGCGACGCGGTGGACGAGCAGGGCCTACGGTTCCCTGATTGCAAGCACAACCTCCTCCTGGACTCCCGCGTCTCGATCGGGGCCATCAGCAAGGGCCGCTCCTCCTCGACTGCGATCAACAAGCTCTTGAGGAGGAGGGCCCCGTTGCAACTGGCCACGGGCTCGCACGTTGGGTGCCACTTCGCGCCGACGCGCCTGCAGCCAGCTGACGTCCCGTCGCGCACGCTCCGCGACCCGGCGAGCGCTCTGGCCCGCGTGGCCGAGGCCCCGCCGCCCGCTCCGTGCTGGCTGGCCGGCCTCGAGGCCGGGGGCGCCTCAGCCTTCCGCGCTTGGGCTGCGCTCCCGCTGCAGCGCCGGCAGCAGTCGCGGTGGGCTTGGCTGGTGGCGTGCCTCTGGTGGCGCGGGCTCCTGCGGCTCACCCTTCAGCCTGGCCGGAGAGGGGCCGCTGCAGGAACGGGTTCGCCGCACCTCCCCGGCGAGGCGGAGGAGGTCCGGCGGCGGCAGCGGCGGCGCGCGCGGCGGGCAGGCCCTGAGGGGCTAGAACCCCGCCTCCGAGAGCCGCCGGCGGAGGGCCGCCGAGGGGAGGAGGGCCGAGGAGTCCGAAGGGCGGGGCCATGCTGGCCGCATGAGGCAGGCGCCAGTCTGGAGGGGCCGCCGCCTTCCGAGCTGGCCCTGCGCCGGCCTCCAAGGCTGCGATCCTCCCCAAGAGCGCGTTCTGCCCGGCCAAGATCTGCTCCAGGACCTGCCGCTGCTGCTGCGGCGCCTTCCTGGCGGCGGCCTTCCGGGTCGGAGCCTTCGGGGCGGCGGGCGGAGCAGCTGGCTGCGCGTGCAAGGCTGCCCGCTGCCGCTTGAGCTCCGCCACCTCCGCGGCCGGGCCCCTCAACTCTTCGACCGCACCAAGCTGCGACAGCTCCAACAGCTCGCTCGGAGGCGTCGTGGCGGCTGGAGGGAGCGGAGAGGCCTCCCCGGAGAACCACGCGCCGAACCCAGCCCCTGCGGCCACTGGCTGCAGCCCGGGCACCAGAGGGGGGCGGAACTGCGGTCCGAAGGCGGACGACGCCGGCCCCGTCTCCTGAGGTGCGCCTGTCGCCTCGAGCGAGGGCTCGCCAGCGCCCTGCAGGGAGTCCATAGTGGCCAGCATCTCGGCGGGGACCGCGTTCACGGCAGCCACGGGGTCGGGCCACCAACCATCGTCGTGGAAGGCGTGGACCTCGCCCTCGGCGGGGGGCGCGGAGGCGAAGCGCCTCACCAAGGCGCTCGGGGTCTCCATGATCTCGGCCGCAAGCAGCTGGCCGTCCAAAGGCGACCCGACGCGATCCCAGGCTGGCAGATGCATGGCTTCGTAGGCAGTGTCGAGCCGACCCGAGGGCACCACCGCCACGGTCGAGAGGGCGTCGGCCCGCACTCGCAACGCCGCCACCGTGACCTCGTAGTCCGAGTCGACGCTGTCCTTCAGAGTGAGGAACCCGAACTCCCCAGCGATCCCTCCAGCAGCAGGGGCGGGCAGCAAGGACGCGGCCGCCACGTTCTGGGGCGTGGCATGCCCAAACCAGGCGCCCAGGTCCTCGACCTCCTCCTCGCCAGTGTCGAACGCGTTCTCCTCCTGAGCCATCTTCCCCCGCGGTGGAGGGGAGGCGGCATTGGGGCGCCGTGGCGGTCAGCCTCGGCAGGGTAACCCGCGATGGCCTCGTCCTCCGAGGCGAAGCGGCGCAGGCAGCTGCGTACCCACGTCCCGGGTCGCGGGGCCCGCGCCAGGGGCCACGCCGGCCGGCAAGGTGCCGGCCCCGCAAGGGGTCAGGTGCACGTAGGGCGCCGCAGCCGCCAGGAGCGAGGCGAGCATCCACTGGAAGGTGCGCGGGAGGGACGGGCGCGCGATGGCGCCCGGTGAATGAGAGCTTGAAGCCAGAGCCCCCGCGCGTCGAGAAATCACTGCAATCACGTACACACGTACGCACGTACACACAATCGTACACACATGCATGCATACATGCATACGTACGTACGTACTTACATGCATACATACATACATGCGTACATACCCATACGCATACGTACGCACATACATGCATGCACACATACATCCATGCACATCGATATCGTTCCGCCCTCTCGCACCCACACTCTCTCACTCTTTCTTTGTCTTTCTCCTCTCTCTCTCTCTCGTTCTCTCCCTCCGTTTCCCTCTATACGTAGTCTCCCTCTTCCTAGGGTGCTCTCAGGGGCGTCTACAATTCGCGTGTGTGATATTATCCGAATATGCTTCCGCAGACCCCCGAAAGGCTCCTGCACCAACTCTCGGCAGGGAGAACGTGAACAAGAGGTGGAGGATGAGGAGGAGGTGGAGGTGGAGGAGGAGGAGGAGGAGGAGGGGAAAGAAAAAATATACAAGGATATAAAAGGACGACGCCGAACAAGAAACGGGTGGTGATGAGCAAGACGGGCACGGAAGCGGCGGACGACGAGACGGACGTGGAGGAAGGTGGAACCAGCGGGAGAAGACGACGAGGACGGGGAGGTGCAGGAGGAGGAGGAGCGAACTGAGGAAGTGGACGGGAAAACAAGGAGGAGTCGGCGGAGGCGGAATGCGAGGAGACGGAGGACGCACAAGTTGAAGAGGCGGAGGAGGAGGAGGGGGAGGAAGAGGAGGAGGAGGCGGAGGAAGAGGAGGAGGACGACGACGACAACGACGAGGAGGACGGAGGCGCGCGGCGAAGGAGGCACGCGGCGCGCACCGCCAAAGCGCGGGGCCCGCCCGAGGGCGGCGGCCGCGAACGCGGCGCGCCGAGGCGGCGGCCCGCAGGCCGAACGGGGGGTCCTGACGCGCCGCCCGGCGCGGCCTCCGCCTCCGCCCCCGCCTCGCCGTCCTCGCCTCGCCCTCCTCCTCCTCCTCCTCCTTCTCCTCTTCCGCCTCCTCCGCCTCCTCCGCTTCCTCGTCGTCGTCCCCTCCTCGTCCCCTCTTATTCTCCCGTCCCCTCCCCATCCTCGCCTTCTCTTCCTCTCCTCCCCCTCCTCTTCCTCATCCTCCTTTTCCTCCCTCCTCCTCCTCCTCCTCCTCCTGCAAACTTAGCAGAACGATGATACTGGGGAATGATCTCTTTGATCAACCGGACCGCGAAATGCAAACGAATGTGTCCAGCACCGCCGTTCGGCGGTCATGAATTCGAGCCTAGCGCCGGCAGCTGCACAGTAGCATGGGGGTAGATATCGAAACACCAACCCTCTCGAACTAGTACCACAGGCTGGATAAAACTACGCGCAATTGCACATACATCTGCACGATCGCAAATGATGACGGCGAGTGGGTGGCCCCAGAAACAGTATATGTACAACACAAGCAAATCACCTGGTTTGTGTGCACACGGCACAACGTGCACCACGCGATGGGTAAGCATTAAATCAATGTTTTGCATGGCGTCAATAACAGAGCGGTAGAAACAGTGGCTACACGTATAGCAGGATCTCCACACGGTTTTTATTTGCCACACCTGCCCTGTCATATACACTCACTTGGAACAACCCTGGATAACCTTGCGACAGACCTCAGAGAGAAAAGAGGTCGGAACACATACGATGGTTAGCTGTCACGAACGGCCTCCTTGACCTGACGGATGACGACCTCGGCCGTTCACCTTTCCCTTGGCCCTTGGCCACGTCGACGCGCGCGAAGTCTTCCTCGCGGTTGCGCTTCCGGGTGACCATGCGCCCACTCGCGTCGTCCTCCACCGAGCGGTCGCCAATTCCAGGCGTTATACTCGGCGCTGTCGTACCACGCGCCGATGGCTTCATCGTCATCAGTCCTGGGCTTCTCGCTGGCTGACTGCTCGTTAATCCCGCTAGACCTGCCGCACGCCTCTCGATTGTGCCCCAGAGGATCGGCGCAACTCACCTCGGGTCACAATTGGCCTTCTCTTTTTTTCACCGCCGTTCGCGAACGAGGGTTGGCCGCCCAAGACTGGTTGTTACCGGCCCAAAGGTGGTACACCCTGCGAAATGCTTAAGAAATCATGGGTTAAGAAATTCATAGTCTCAGAACTTGAATAAAAACCCAACAGTTCTATTAAAATCTTAAGATTTACATTGGAACATTAAGAATAATCGAGACTCTGGCCGAAAACTTAAGTTTTCTTAAGCATCGCCTAAGGTGTAGTCACCCGAAGGTATCTGAGCCTGTCAGTGAATCTTCTCCTCCGGGCGGGCGCCGCGGTTTTAAGGGTGCGCAGGCGCGCCCAGTTCAGCATCCCTCCTAGCGTAGGTCTGCCTGAAGGCGTGGCGCCTGCGCGCGGTTACGATAAGTTCGACTCACACCAGGACGAGAAACCCCAAACGACTCAAATCACGAGGAGCGCTTTCTCTCCCTCCTCCTCCGCCTCGTCCTTCTCCCGTTCCCCTCACAAGGAGGATGTACAAGGAGGCGGGAGGAAGGAGGAACAGGGGAGATATGCGGGGCCAAGCGGACACACGCCTGAAAAACACGACTGTCGGCATGCTTCGCGAGAGTTGCTGCTGTGAGATGGGCTGGTGGGAATACGCGAAGCGTAAAGAATTTCGCTCGGCGCCATGTTAACTCAGGTGCGTTCACCAGCTCGGCCTCGCACGCGTGAGGCTTCCTGATGGTGGCGTCGAAATGAAACTAAAACACCTCGCGGTCGTCGCCAGCGTCGATGAACTCCCTCGCCAACTCGCGGGTCAGAGATCCGACTGCAAAAGCGCCGGTTTGAGTGGTTCCATGGTCGTGATGGATTGTTGAGCCACTGCAGAGCACTTTGATGACCAGAATGGTGGCGTTACCTGACCAAAGGATGCCGAACCAAGTGGTGACCATGCTTATGCCCTCTCGCTCCTGAGGCTCGAGCATCTTTTTGATGCAGGCCTGGCTTATGTCGCCAATGCCCCAGTCGCACACTGGGCGTAGGATGTGGTTAGGCACTCGGGGGCCAGGGCACCCCTTCCGGTCGTCGAGGAAGCGCGCCTGGATGCCCATCGCCAACTGCACCCAATCATCGCGCTTGTCCCTGCGGTGCACCGCGAACGCGTTAATCTTGTCTCCTCCTCCCCCTCCTCCCCCTCTCCCCCGTCTCCTCCTCCTCCTCACTCCTCCTCATCTCCTCCCCTGCTCCTCCTCCTCCTCCTCCCTCTCCTCCTCCTCCTCCTCCTCCTCCCCTCCTCCTCCTCCTCCTCCCCCTCCTCCTCCTCCTCCTCCTCCTCCTCCGCCTCCCCTCCTCCTCCTCCTCCTCCTCCTCCTCCTCCTCCTCCTCCTCCCTCGTCGTCTCCACCCTGCCCTCCCCTGTCTCCGCGCCCTCGTCGTCGTCCTCGGGGCTCGCCGCCGGGGCCCCGCGGGGGGGGGAGGTCCTGCCGCGCCGCCCAGCGGCACAGCAGCTGCCCGAGGCGGGTGATGCTGTCCTCCGCGCTCGGGCCCTCGCCGCACCGCGGCTGC